CTAAGGCTGCTGTCAGGACACACCCCTGTCCTTGGCCCACTTTCCAGTGCAAATCTTCTTTGATAATAGGCAATTAAGGACTCTCCTGCTGATCCAAAGAGCTCTCTCTCCCACTTCTTCTGCCAACCCTGCCAGCATATACCCAAGGCTCCCAGGGTCTAGAGAGAGGGAAAAAGAGGCATGTGTAGGGAAGGAAGTGACTTTATCCAGCAATTCTCTTATCCCACTGAGGTATTCTGTGGGATTTTAGAGCTGTTGAGGGAAAAGAAACAGCTTTTTAGCTGCTACACCATGGTGAACCTGCCCACCCAGCCCCAGAGAAGCAGGCATAGCAGCGTGTGATCTAGAGGGCTGAGCGAATGCCTTTTCTTACAGGAGTTGGTGGTCCTCTGGAAGAACACGGGCGTGATTCCAAATGTGCATTGAGTGGTCTTTCAAAATGTCACAAAATGTAACCCTACTGTGGATTAGGTGCTGCAGGGCCTGATCCATGGACAATGTGGAAGTCACTGGCTTTTTAATCCTTGTGGCTCTGCTTCCCTGTCCCTTTCTGAAGGTCAGCAGACACGGGAAACCATCTGCCAATTACAGCACTGACAGATGCAGAAAGCTTTTGATCAATACCTAGACCTAGGTTTAGCTATCTATCAAACCCACTACCTCTCCAGGTTTGAGCAGCTGATCAGTGGGACAGATGATTCTCTGTGAAACGGGAAAGTCCCCCAGCGCTTTTGGACCCACTGCCTTCTGGAGCCTCCCGATCAGCTGCAAGGCAAACCTGGGGAGGTGACGGGTTTGGAAGAGTTGGGTTCTTGTACTGTACTTGCCACTTCCTGGAACCAGCCAGAGAGCTGTCAGTGGATTGGCAGAAGTGCCTGTGAAGCAGAAAAGCCTTTACTCCTTCATGGGACAGCTCCTCCATTCCACTGAACAGCTGTCTGGTGTTCCAGTTTTGACAGCAGTTTACCATCCAATCTAAGCTCCAAGAAAACGTACTGGGCAGCTAATCTGGTGGCTGCAGGAGTTCCCTGGCAAAGTTGGAGAGCCAGTCCTCTCAAAACCCAGCACTGGAGCTAATTCTCCTGCTTTACCTTGCAGAGGCCTGAGATGCCAATCAGTTGTTCGGTGGACTATGCAGAAGTGTCAATCTCCAGGGAAAAACAGTGGGGCTAGAGGGAGTTTGCTTCTTTTCAAAGCCAAGAGTAAACGGGCTATGAGACAGCTAAGAGAGGCTGTATATAAAGCTTTGAAAAATCCATAGGCAGATTGAGTGGGGAAATTCCTGTGTCTGATTAGGCAGATTCAAGACTGCCTTTCTTTTAGAAACTTAAGGCATCTGCTTTGCCCCTTAATAATAAAAAATAAACACATCATACTGCCTTATAATCTACAGGTGTTCCA